TTGGAGGTGTCTGCCCCTTCTTCTCCAATGACTGGAGCAGAGGAAGTGTCCAAAAGAAGATGGAACCAAAGTATGCACACAACAAGTTGCTCACAGCCTCTGGATCCTTGTAACACTTACTGATCTTTAAACAGATGAAAAACCGGTGCTTCTCTGGTATTTAAAAGTAGATTTGCTTGTCTCTGTGCCTCTGCTGTGTTTAAATGAGAACTTCTTTGTTGTGTGGCTGACCTGCAGACCTGATGCGTGTCTGCAGTTTTTTTAAGAAGCTATGTTGTTGTTATCAGCTGCAGAAGCTCTGAACTGTGTCTCTGTAATTAGAGAGCTAATTTGTGAGCTGCCGTCGTTATGGTTGCTGGTTGTTAGTGGTTACCTGTTGTTATGGTTACCGTTTCCCTGTGTAGCTAGTAACAGGACCTGGAGTACCGCAGAGTGGGACTCAGCTCCAACTCCTACACATGTTCATCAGGATGGCTGAGGTTTGGGACATTCTGTGACTGAACCTCCGTCAGTAACACAGCAGGATGCTTCCATCTCGGAGTTCAGAGTTTGCACACCTCAGGCCTTAAAAGCAGCCATTTTGTTTTTTACACATGAACTGGAGCTGAGGATGAAAAAAATCTGCTGTAAAATACATAATCAGTTCAGTTGTTTTTTTGTTTTTGTTTTTTATTTAAGCTAATACTACAAAATTAAAAGTTTATATAACTACATGAATCTGCTCTCCTTCCTTTGCCCCGAAGGAGCAGTCACTGACCACACTCACATGCAGGAGCTGTTTGTGTGATGGGGGTTTTTATTCAGCACCTGAAATCTGTCAGCAGCTGATGCCAGAAAGGTTTGTGCCTTCATGTCCCTCACAGGATGATTCCTGCACACTTCCTTCAGAACATCTTTGTGTTTTGCGAGTGTTTTGCCAAAGTGAGCGGACCCAGGTAAGTCCAGCCTGTGCCAACTTGGTTTTTCACAGAGACATTCATATTGGCTCATACACACCTGAGTAAAACACAAGACGGAAAACTGGCTGGATTTTTTATTTTTATTTTAGTGACCTCGGGCTCAGGGTAGGGCAGCAGAACAAACTGAGTTGTTTACGTGATGTAGTTATTTATACGTGTTTTTTCTTTTGATGTGTTGTTACACACCTGCAGCCTGGCCGTAACATTTTCACATGTATATATAATTATGCTTAAAGGTCAGCATGTGGAGGGATAACATTAAAACCAGAAGCCACCGCACAGCCCCTGGAAGATCAATGACATGAACAACACTTGGAGCTGCAGCGAGAACGCCATGGATGCGCCTTTATGCGCGGACCACAGTCCCCACCTGTTCGATGAGGACAGGTGCAGAATTTGTTATGTTCATGGTGTCAGGATATAAGGTTGGACCAAGAGCTTTCAGATTTAAACACAACCACTCCAGTGTTTGTATATTCTTTATGTAGCACTTGTGACTGCACCTGCTGCCATGACCACAGGTCTTAGGAGAAGATTTCTCATAATAATAGAACACAGTTAAAGCCCTCCTTCCCTCTGGGCCTCTGAAACCTGCAGATCAGACACATGTGAACATCACATTAGGATGCAGCAAAATAATCTCTCATCTCTGTGCTAATCATTTGCTCTTTTCTCATGTCCCTGTTTGTTTCTGCTCCCCCCCCCCGATTTTATACCTCACAGCATCCAGCTACAATTTCATGTTTTTGGAGCGCCCGCATGACAAACATGATAAAGTTTATTGTAAAAACCTCCTAATGGCTGTATCCAGTGCGTGAAATCGCTGTGTTGCCAGTGGCCAGTCACACAGTGGGATGGGTGATGGTGGGATATTATTCATGGCTGCAGGAGTCTGAGAACAGTGCATTAATCCAGGGGCGGGGAGATGCACAAAGTTCTTATCATGATGAGGCTGCGGCATTAGATAAGGAAACGGATAAATATAGTGCTCATGCTTTGTTTTGCTAATCCACCCACAGGGCTGAGAAACTAACCTTTTAAATAGGTCGCCCTCCTCTGCTTTTAGAAACAAGCGCTCCGGCTCTCTGTGTCCACCGGCGTGCATCTACGTGTCCTTTGTAGGATTTTGGATGTTCAGTCGGTGCACTCTGAACAGTACTCGGTTAAAGATCTTACATTAGAGGTGAGGTAGCAGGAGGGGTCTCAGTGGCAATGCTTCTTAAAACCAGGAATTTAACTTAGGTGACTGCAGTTTGTATTCTTCTTATTTCTTTTTTTTTGTTATTAATGGTAAAATGGTAAATGGCCTATATTTGTATAGCGCTTTACTAGTCCCTAAGGACCCCAAAGTGCTTTACACATTCAGTCATCCACCCATTCACACACACATTCACACACTGGTGATGCCAAGCTACATTGTAGCCACAGCCACCCTGGATCGCACTGACAGAGGCACTGCAAATGCTGCCAAAATATTACCAGATCAGATTGTTCCCCGAATCTGAGTTACTGCCTGAATATGAAGCTCTGTTACGTTTGCTTTTCCTTTATGTCTAAAATGTTCACCTAACGTAGAACCAGAGATCTTATTTCTTATGAAACATTTGCACTGTTTTGTTTTTCAACCATTCAACCATAAATAGCACCGGAACCTTGATCGCACCCTGACAGTACAATCAAGAATCCTCAGTCTAATCACGTCTGCATACTGTCGCTCATAAAAAGAGACACGCCAATTATATTCAAACAAAAGCAGTAGGATAATGTCAGACACAGTTTTCTGTTTTTTTGGTTGGCTTAAGCGACCCTGCACAATAACTGGCCTGGCTCTGCTGGAGGTTTCTTCTTGTTAAAAGAGAATTTTTTTCCTTCCCACTGTCACCAAAATGCTTGCTCACAGGGGGTCATATGATTGCTGGGTTTTTTCTGTGTGTATTATTGTATGGTGTACCTTACAATATAAAGCACCTGGAGGCGACTGTTTTGATTTGGCGCTGTATAAATAAAATTGAATTTGCTGCCTTGATTGGAAATACTGCTTAAATGTTGTGCTGCGTGTAGCTTTTTTATACTATAAGAGCCAGAAATCAACACCTGTGTCTGAAACATGAAGCTGAGTTTCCTTTTGGGGTGTTTGTAATGAATAATCTGACCAATAATATGGCTGCCTTCAGGTTTTTGTACTAACACAACATCTAGGAAATCTGAGCTCTGGTTTTGCTGAGTGAACCTAAAGTCATGAACACTGGGTAGTGACTGAGAGAATGAAACCTAACCGGTAAGGTTAAGTTAACATCTTCTCTTCTATTCAGAAGACCAGAATACCATCCATGAAGTTTGAGGGGCAGTTTTGTATTTTATTTGGATATTGCTGAGCAGTGACTGAAGTTCTCTAGACATCAACAGCAAGATACTGAAAAGCACAAGAAAAAAAAACATTCAAACTTATCATGAATTTCTCATAAAACCAACAAAAATAATGATTAAAAAGATGATTAAACGCAGAATAAACTCCACAGAACACAGAAACAAGGATCTTTCATGATTACAGCAAAAACAGAAAATGATGCTCCAGCTTGTTGCTGGTTAATAATTACAATGTTGACATAAAGACTCACATGGCTGCATGAGATCCAAACATGATAGTACAAGAACTCACTTCAACCATAAAGTAACAGCTGACCAGCAGTGGTGGACTGATGGGGATGTTTCTATATGTGCAGACAAACATGAGTTTGTGTTTTAAAGAAAAGATGTATCCATCTCCTTCAGAGCCAGCAGGATGAGGCAGAGTGTGGCCCCAGGGCCGAGCCAGCAGCAGCAGAGCAGCAGAGGACACGAGCATAAAGGAAACAAAGAGGCACGCATGAAAGCCGCGAGTCCATGGATGCCACCATGTGGAAAGCAAGCCTTTATGCTCACACTGTAAGGAGATGGATGTGTGCGCAATAAGGAGACCTGAAAGCTTGCACACGTGTGCTGCTGTGGCAGCAAAACACACAAAGGAAGGTCTGATGTTGTGTAAGGAGTGAAAATAAAAACAAAATGACAGAAAGAAATCACCACATGACCTCACAGCATCTCAGTTTATTCTGTTTTTCAGAATAAACTGAAGCATGGATTTGTGTCCACAAAAACCAGCGAGGTCATCTGAGGTAGTGTTAGTCAATGCCAATCCTCACTCTTGTTAAGGGTTATATACAGACACCAAAACAGCTTCTGCATGAGCCTGTCAGTATGTTTATGTTAACAGGACTTTGTGAGGACTGGCTCACAACTGGTGCCCCTGGTGGCCGGCAGAGGAACAGCAGCGTGTGGTTTCAGATGGAATTTCATGGTCGCTGTCCTCCGCAAACAGGTGCGGCTTCAGGCTGAGTGTGCAAGCAAGTTGGGCTGTCTCTGTATTAGGAACCATGCAAGGAGATCACAGATGGCTGACAGGGAGAGGTCAGAGTGACAGGAAACAGGAGCAAAGGTTTATAAATCAAGACAAAACAAACTTCATGGAAATAAAAAGTTTTCATGTATCTTCTTCTCCAACACTGAAATACTGACTCTGTTCTGTCCTTGGGCAGCTGTGGCGCTCGCAACCTTTGACCTCTTCATTCACACTGCCTGACAAGCTCACAGGTGTGTACCGGGTGGGAGCGCGCAGGTGAGACATGTGGGCTTTTTGCCACAAACCGTCATGTTGTGTTGGATCAGACTTTGATCTTTGAGGTTTTCAGTGACATTTTTAAACCGTCGCTGTTTGCACGTGCGCGCGGACTGTCCCCTGCGCAGAAATCCAAATAAATGAAAGTGAATATTAAAAAATGAGATGGTCAGTGCGCGCGCTTTGTCCCCACGAGAGAGAGAGAGAGAGGAGAGCGCAGCAGGTCGAGCAACACTTTTGACGTCAGGAGTGATCACTGCTGCCTCTCTCTCTCTCTCTCTCTCTCTCTCTCTCTCTCTCTCTCTCTCCCTCTCTCTGTGTATCATCCGGGTCTTCTTCTCCTTTTGTGCGCTTTTCCCGTCCGCTTGGCGCAGACGTGCGGCGGCTCGGAGCCTGAAGAACAGAAGACCCTCCACAGATGCGGTCCCTTGAGTAGGAGCTGCAGGAGCTGCGTCTCCCCCGCTGCTCCTCTCTGTGAGTTTCCTGGAGGATGTTCGCGCTCAGGATCAACAAGTCTCTCCTGCTCTGCGCGCTGTAACTGTGGATGGCTGCGGGATGGAGATAGCCTTGGTGAGCTTTGAGAACGGCGGCGCAAAAGGGAGCGGTGGAGGAGGAGGAGGTGGAGGCAACATTGCCGAGGAGAGCTGCCGGAACGCGCTGGATGTCCCTCAGCCGGGCTTCGTTCAAGGCGGGCGGGGAGAGGACTACAGCAAGGAGCTGAACACCCGGGGCGGCCCGCAGCCGCCGCACAGCCCCTGGAAGATCAATGACATGAACAACACTCTGAGCTGCAGCGAGAACGCCATGGATGCGCTTTTACGCGCGGACCACAGTCCCCACCTGTTCGACGAGGACATGCTGGACATGGACATGGATACGGAGAGCAACGAGAGGGTGCTCATCAACATCGCGGGTCTGAGGTACGAGACCCAGCTGGGTACCCTCAACCAGTTCCCTGACACTTTATTGGGAGACCCCGCTAAGAGGATCAAGTACTTCGACCCGCTCCGGAACGAGTACTTCTTCGACCGGAACCGGCCGAGCTTCGACGGGATACTGTATTTTTATCAGTCCGGAGGAAAGATCCGGAGACCCGTCAACGTGTCCATAGACGTGTTTGCGGACGAGATCCGGTTCTACCAGCTGGGGGAGGAGGCCATGGACCGGTTCCGCGAGGATGAGGGCTTCATTAAAGAGGAGGAGAAGCCGCTGCCGCAGAACGAGTTCCAGAAGCAGGTCTGGCTCATCTTCGAGTACCCGGAGAGTTCCAGCCCGGCCCGTGGCATCGCCATCGTGTCCGTGATCGTCATCACCATATCCATCATCACCTTCTGCCTGGAAACGCTGCCGGAATTCAGGGATGAGAGGGAGCTGGCGGTCACCAGCCGTCTGGACAACAGCACGGCGCCCCGGCCGTCGCTCACCTTCACCGACCCCTTCTTCATCATCGAGACCACGTGCGTCATCTGGTTCACCTTCGAGCTCATCGTGCGCTTTTTTGCGTGCCCCAGCAAGTCCGAGTTCTCCAAGACCATCATGAACATCATCGACATCATGTCCATCATGCCTTACTTCATCACCGTGGGCACTGAGCTGGCGGAGCAGCAGGGCCAGGAGCACCAGAACGGTCAGCAGGCCATGTCTCTAGCCATCCTGAGGGTCATCCGCTTGGTCCGGGTCTTCCGCATCTTCAAGCTGTCTCGACACTCCAAAGGGCTGCAGATCCTGGGCCAGACTCTGAAGGCCAGCATGCGCGAGCTTGGCCTGCTCATCTTCTTCCTCTTCATCGGGGTCATCCTCTTCTCCAGCGCTGTGTACTTCGCCGAAGCTGACGAGCCGGAGTCCCACTTCTCCAGCATCCCCGACGCCTTCTGGTGGGCGGTAGTCACCATGACAACTGTGGGTTATGGTGACATGAGGCCGGTGACAGTCGGGGGGAAGATCGTGGGCTCTCTGTGCGCCATCGCCGGAGTGCTGACCATCGCGCTGCCGGTGCCCGTCATCGTGTCCAACTTCAACTACTTCTACCACCGGGAGACGGACCAGGATCAGTCCTCCCTGAAGGACGAGCCCAACAGCGGCAGAGAGAGCCCCGAGCTTAAGCGCAAAGGCAGCAAAGCGTCCGTGAAGTCTCAGGATGTGGAGAACAACGAGGCGGGCGCTTCGGTGGAGAAAACGAACATCAAAGCAAACAGCAGCGTGGACTTCAAGAGATCCCTTTACGCGTTCTGTCTGGACACGCGGGAGACGGACCTGTAGCCGTGCACGAGCACACCTGGGCTTAAAGCAGATACAGTCGTGTAGAATAAACCCCATTAATGGGCTCTTAAGTCTTTGCACATTGCAGTTGGAGGATCAACACATTGCAATCCTGAAAAGTTTTAAGAGGGTTGGTTTATAAAAAGCACACTTTAATCCCCATCATCTGGTAAGCACGACAGTTAAAAGTGCGGAGTTATGAACGAGCTGCAGCGCATGTGATGCAACACAGAGGCCCTTTAATAAAGCAGGGACACCTGCAGAGCATCAAATCTAACTCATGGATGAATTAGAGGGAAGTGGGACATCAGATGCTGCAGATAATCAGGGACAAGCACGACTCGGAATAATTACTTGACACAGTGAGAGGATTACCGGGACCAACCAGACTGTGTATATAATGCAGGACGCAGACCACATTCAGTAGTGCAACAACAACAACAACAACAACAACAAATAATAATAATAATAATAATAATAATAATAATAATAATAATAATAATAACAATAATAATAATAATTTCCCAACTGTGATGTTTATACTGGCAGCAGACGTGTAAATATTCCCCACAGGCTGCTCTTATTGTAGAAAAACAAAAGTATATTTTTGAGATGCAGACACCTGTTTTCCTTCACTCAGGTTCTGTTTAAATCAGAGAGGGTTTGGGGGGGACCTCAGCCTTGAACTTTTAAATAAAGAACATTTGGGATTTTTTTTTAAACTGAGGGAACAACAGCCAAGAAAAGAGGACAGAGCAGAAACCGTCTGGAGAGATCGAGCATCAGCGATACCAGGTGAGAACATGTGAGCACATTTTAAGAGTTTTTATGTAATGACATGCTCAGTAGTGTGCACGTGAGGCACAGTCATGTCGCCGGGAGCTGTCCTTTCAGCACCACGCTCCTCGGTATGGAGTCCGATTGATGCCAAATTTCAAGTTACAAAAATTCAATTATATCTTAAATTTAAATTAAATTTTATTTTTGTCTATTAAAAACAAAGCATACAAACTTCTACTCTATATTATTTAAATATACACGAATTTTGGTTATATTCATATTGCATCCGACTTATGCTCGGATGCAATATGAATATAGTCTTTAATATAGTCAACAAAGTCATAGTCACCTGAGTGACACTTTAGATTATATACTATACTGCACTTGACAACAGTGGGGGGGAAATCTCCCTTTTAACAGGAAGAGATATGTGTCAGAAACAGGATTAGAGCTTTTTGTTGCCACCTTCAGGCAGCAAGAGAAATTACACAAATACTTTTGAGACAGGGCAAGTGTGGCCCTGCTGATCCTATAAAGAGCTCTGCAGACCAATGTGTACATGTTGTTGTGCTGTACTGTCAACAGGGGGCAGTAGTTTGTTGTTGGTTATGTTGTTTAGCTCCACCCACAGAGAAAACAGAAGTGAAAGTAGAGAAAGAATTTCTTTATGATGGCGTGAAAAGAAATTAATCAGCCTGTCTGAGCTTTTTTTTGGATCTTTCATTATTTTTCGTATTTGTGGTGAATTTTCATTTCAAGTCCTCTCTTATCCATGCGCACGTTTCAACCAATCAGCATACTAACCACACACCAGGATACTCGCTGTGGATTTTATTTCATTTCATTTCATACTTTTTGGGAGGAATCCCCCTTCTGACCTGTTCCTACAGGAGTGTCTTTATTTAACATCTGTCCAAGAATGAGTCCGAGTTTAGGATCATGTTTCATAACACAGCTAAATTATTTCAAGTGTCCTAAGAAAATGATTGATTATTCAGGCAAACATGATAATTACATCATTACTCTAAATATTTTTTGAATCCCAGCATGTTTTTTCCCCAACATACTCAGCTAAAAATACAGCTAATAATATTCTGCAGTGAACATGGAAGTCTTCATCATCATGCTAAAGCTAAGAGTCTGGAAACAAAGCCTGTGACATGTAACCTCTGATGTGTTAAAAACAGAAGACTTATGCTGGGAAAACAAAACGCTGCCTTTGACCTGCTGGAAGGACAAGTTGGAGCTGTTTCAGAGCAGATTAGTGTGAGAGTTACCGCAGAGGAGGGATGTCTTTGTGAAGATATGGGGCAGACTGAACACGGTAACTAAAATCATGACTTTTTTGGACAACTTAACTGTTGAGCCAGTGTCCAGGTAGATTTAAAATTAAAATGACTCCAACAGTTTGTCAGACTTACAGCTTCCAAATGATGAAAAGACACATCACTGTCTTCATGTACTAAGACCGGTATTTAAAGATGAATATTAATATTGAATATTTAAAGATGAAGGCAAACATTAAACGGAAAGCACTTTCACTTGTTTCATTCATGCTCTGCCTTCCTGTCGTTCAGTTGGACTCAAGCTCCCACCTCCCTCAGTGGAAGGTGGGGATTTGTTATCTTTTATTTTTAGTTTGGGTAAAAGTGGCAGTGCACAGATGGAGTCTGCAGGCGAGAAGCCATCAGCTGTCACTTTGGGTATTATCTCTGAAGCAGCTGGGAGCTTCCTGCACATTTTTCCTGGGAAACCGGGGAGCGCTGGAGGTTCGATGGGGGCATCTTAATGCACCAAACAAGTCCACTTTAGATATTTATAGAGGTTTTTATCAAAATTAGGAGAGACTGCACATCACAAAATCTGCATCCCTAATTATAAAGCAGCTTCCTCCTTTGGCCTGATCCTGTCCAGCAAACAAAAACAGCACACAAGGAAACCACCACATCGTTTAGTTTGAAGGAGAATATTGTCTGAATCGGTCAGTTATATTCAGCTTGTCTGAAGTCGGGTAGCAGCAGCAGGCTAAACAGGATATTTCAGATGTCGCATTCCCCAGCAACACCTTCCAGTTTCTCCTTTGGGATCCCGAGGTGTTCTCAGACCAGAGGAGTTAAATATAATCTCTCCTGAGAGTTTTGGGTCTACCCCGGGGTCTCCTCCCAGCTGGGAGAGCACAGAAAGGCTCTTCATAACGTCTGAACCACCTCAGCTGCTTCCATCACAAAGAAGCAACACTACGAGATCCGTGTGGATGTCCTAAAGCACATTCAACTGAAAGAACTACTGGCTGTTCATGCATCAGTTTGTGGCTGATGGATGCTTACATAATACTCTATTACATTTCCCACACAGCCTTTAGTTTAGTCAGCAATATCTTGCCTTCTATTAGTAGTTGCGTCTGTTACCTCAAATATCGAGAGCAGTTTAAATCCAAAGCTCCTCATTTCTGTAGCTGACCACTGAACATTCGAGTTCAATTTCACAGTCTGCTCCAGCCCATTCTCACTCCCGACGCGGAATATACTGATGATTTGTCACGCCCCGAGGCGTTCCATGGGAACGCGAAAGGTGATGGTTTGTGTTCTTATGCTGCGTGCTGGATTGTGCAAACAGAATGATGCTCCTGCGATAACACATGTTCCAGCCCTGTATTCCAGCCCTCACCCTAACATTATCGCTAACCTTAACCATAACTGTTAACCACCACCTTAATCATGTTAGATAGTGTTTTCCAAAGTGATTTAAGTAAAATAAAAGTACATGTGTAGATTCATTCCAAACGGTTCTCATGTTTCCTCATTTTTCTGAACTCGTAATATAGGGACCTGTTGGGTGGCTGAAAGTGTAATATACAGACAATTTGTCACCTAGCATAAAATGTTACGCTTTGGGAGTGAAAGCGTGTTGTCTGCTTATTTGATCCACATGCTGAAGAAGCAGAGTTCCAGAAAGAAGAAGCTCCTACGTGTTTAGTAAAGTCTTTCTTACAGACAAGTACATGTGAATCTGACGTAACCCAGGTTGGTTTCATTCTATCAGTCACTACCCAGAGTTCACGACTTTAAGGTAGAACTTCAATGTGAACCAAAACTGGAACTTACAGAAACCTCACAGCAGCCATGTTATTGGTCACATGATGTCATTAAAAATGCTCCAAAAGGCTCCAACAAGCACAAACACGGTCCAGAGGTCCAGTTAAAGACAGCTAGCAGTTCATGCCACCGGCATCACCATCTAACTGTCAGTCAAAGAGGCCAAGCCCCTAATAACCCAAACTTTAAGCTTTAATACAATTTTATCTTAAAACTGTTGTTATGAAAGGAGAAATTATCCACAGAGAGAAAACCATTTGTGTGTCAGGCTGTAATAATGTTTATTTCGGCTGTGAAGCTTTAACATGGGATTGGGGACTGAGGAACTCAGGAACTGCAGGTTGGTTGCTGTACATGTGAAAATAGCATTTCATTTTAAGCATATTAAGCCCCACATATTATGAATTCAATATGAGACCATATAAGGTAAACTTCAGTTCTGACAGTTCAGCTAACCAATCAGTTGCCCGAGCTTTTCAGGAGGCAATTTTATAGAGAGAATCCAGAAGTGAACTTTCTGCTTCTGGCATCAGAATAAAAAGGTACATTTTTTAAGATTCAAGCTCCACCATTGCACAATGAGCATCTAAATGAGTATTAATGGCTGCATTATCACTTTCTCCATTTCCTTTGTAATAACTTCCAATTTATGAGGCCTTATGATCACTGGCACATCATAACAACTGTCTGCCTGTGAGAGACAGCCTGAAAAGCAGCTGGAGGAGAAACCCTTCTTTACTTACTGCTTAAAACAACGCTGTCACCGTTTATACCTAATGTTGGCTGCTGATGTTGGATGAGAACATTTGACTCACAGTCATGGATTTGCAGTGAGGGTCATCCACAGCAAACATAGGAACCATTTCTTCAGAGCCGGCTTTGTACTCGATAGTCGTCATGTAGACACAGGAATTAGACAAAATCAAACTGTGGAGCTGGGGTATGTGGGGTGTTACTGTGATCTTAGAGCTGTCCGAGATCATCCTTCTGCGGGAATGAAGGACTGTGAAAGTCTGTTTGCTTTGGATAAAATTAGCCTTTAAATTTAGTGTTTCAATGTTCTTCTTGTCAACAGTGCGAGTGAATAAAGTGACCTTTCCTACTTAACAGGCTGAAAGTTCTGGCTGGTATATCTGGCACCGCCTTAGACTGGTTTTCTTCCTATTTATCAGGTAGGACCTTTTCTGTTAGGACTGACAGGTTCTCCTCTAACATTGCTGCCCTAACCTGCGGGGTTCCACAGGGTTCAGTTTTGGGTCCATTATTATTTTCTTTTTATATGTTTCCTTTAGCTGGCATTATTCAGTCTTTTAATGATCTGTCTTATCCTTTCTATGCTGATGACATTCAGCTGTATATATGTCCTTTAAGCCTCATCAGCTGGATAGGCTGTCCACCCTAGTCCAGTGCTTAACTCAGGTTTCTGACTGGCTTTCTAACAATTACCTTGTTTTAAACATGAACAAGACAGAGACCATGATCATAGCTCCTTCTGATCTATATTCTAAAATCAGTCAGGTTCTTGCCCCTTTCTGTCCTTCTGCTAAGCCAAATATTCGAAATCTTGGAGTAATATTTGACTCTTCTCTGGGCCTTGACTCACACGTAAAATCTCTGTCTCCATGCATTTGTGTCATCGCGTTTAGATTATTGTAATTCCCTGTTTACCAGCTTGGATAAATCATCGCTTTCCCGCCTCCAAGCTACACAAAACGCAGCAGCCAGACTACTAACTCGCAAGCGTGCTCACATTACTCCTATTTTATGTTCTTTACATTGGCTCCCAATAGATTTTAGAATTTGTTTTAAAATTATTGTTTTAACGTACAGAGCAGTACATGGCCAAGCCCCAGATTATTTATCCAAACTTCTCACAAAATACACTGCTGCTCGTTGTCTCCGCTCACAGACTAAGAGTTT